GCCGGCATCACCGTCGAGCATTTCAGAGTTCTAACTCCGGCCGAGATCAAGAAAGAAGTTGTTGAGTATGCTGACAGGATGACCGCTGCCGCTGCCGATGGGAATGTTGAAGAGACCCGGGTCGATACCGAACTTGTTACGGTGACTGAATCAGCCGACCCGGGGACAGTGAAGATTCTAGTTGACCCCGACGCCCTTGACGCTGCGATCTATGCTAAGCTGAGCGAGCAGGTCAGAGACACTTCGAGAGATGCCGACGACGATGATCTAGAAGAGGTCGGGGAGGACCCGGCGAAGGCGTCGGAGGGTCCCGGAGAAGGCGTCGGTGAGCCAGAGGACTCCGGGACGGGAGCCGAGGGATCCGCCGAGTAGGACCGTTTTACTCCTTTTGTTGCTTTTATGTGTTTGTTTTTGTGTCGCGTGGGCCATTCGGTCGCCGCGCTTGCTCTAGTTTGAACTTTGTAATTTCAGACGGGGATCGTCGAGTCGACACGTCCTTAGCTTTTCGTGTTTTTATTGTGTTTGCAAGAATCTTTCCCCGGGGTTAATGGTAATACAATCTATCTTCTTAGTTTATGCTTTTTTGCTTTTCTTTACTTTTTCAAACATTCTTGTTTTCGAAGAGAAGGTCGGAGGTGAAACTCGTGAATGGTCCGACCTCTTTTGCCGCAAAATGAAACGAAGTACGTAAGAACAAGTTTGTTCAATTAACCGCTTTGGACAAGAATTGAATTCCGTTGATCGTAATCACTTGTTAACAGAAATTCAATGAAAAGGCATCTTCGGCCCTAAAGTACTTATTTCACATTCATGAGCTAACTTGAGTACAAAAGATTTTGACACTAAGACTCTATAAAAAGTATTTTGTTATACAAGGTCCATCATGTTTACAAAATGTTCCTGGAAAGATATTCGTTGGGAGGTTTGTCTTACTTGAAAAATTTTTCCGGCCAGTTGACTCTCTTAAGTTTTGCCATTTCGCCCGGGGAGGCTTCTTCAAAGAATTCACTTGCAACACAATAGCTTTTTGCTGAACGTCGGCGCAAGGGCCAACTAATGGCACGGAGGCCGATTTTTGCAGAACGTCGGCGCGGAGACCGACTAGTGGCACGGAGGCCGGTTTTTGCAGAAT